TATCCATGTTTGACAACTCCTTTTTTAAAAGTCTGTATCAAAAACAGGAGAACAGAATATTTTGTTGCAAATAATGTTTAATTAAATTTTTAAAACTTCATTTGAAAGTGAACATAAATACTAAAAAGTTTCATTATGTTTTAAATTTTAATGTACCGGTAGTATATTTATGTGGTTTTATTTTTCTGATTAATTAATTTCACTTTGGGTTTATATATTTAACTTTTAGATGAAATATATTTTCTACCTTGATTAAATTATGTGGTTAAAGTTTAAAAAATTAGATAATTGCTGAAATTTGCTAAAATTACACAATATTAGTAAATATTATTGATAAAATAAAAGTTTAGAAATATGAAAATACATTTTAATTATCATGAATCAATATTAATTATTATTTGAATGCAATATAATATTGACTAAAAATACTAATAGTTAAAATATATTAAAAATTATTAATAACAATTAATTGTGTGATATGAGTTAAAATTAATTGCATTTATAGTGAATTGTGAAAACTTTAAAAGCTTTAACAAGGTTATTATTATTACCATCAAAATGTTTATCAAAGTTAATATGTTTAATCATTTAAAATTGCATAAAATAGTAAATATTAATTTATTTCTAATGATCTATTTTTAATTAACACTATCCTTGTAAATAAAATGAAAATCCATATCCATTTCATAAAATTATGCACAATTTCTTGTTCAATTTTCTATCAGTATAGTTATTGTAGGTGGGTGCTTTTGCTTCATAGACTGATAGACATTGCTCAATAATATCAAGCAAATTAATTTTCTGTAAATTTGATTTTTGTTTTGAATTAGATGTAACTCTGAACGCATATTGAGCTTGTTGAAATAAGTCCATTTTTTGACAATCATCAAGGTCCTTCCAAACACCAAGGTAATATTTAAATAATAGCCCCATAGCGTTACTAAAATTAGCATCATCATTCATGTCAATTTGGAGGTGCCTTAATACGCCATTCAAATGTGCTAGAGCAACTGGGTTCAATTTGATAATACATTGTTTAAACTTGATGCTAGCTCGCTCATCACAGGGTATTTGATCGATAATTGTAGGCAAAATGTCCTCGATAAAATTGTCGATCATGGTGCAGGTCATTTGATCATTTGTAAAAAATTGACTTATTTCATCTGCAACATCCATTTCCAATTTGATACCTGCCCAGCGTGACCAACTCCTGTTAAAGTAATAATTGACAATCGGGGTAAAATTTAATGGATAAATAGTGACATAAATTTTTATGACAGAATTGAAATATATTACTTTTAATTTATATTATCTGATTAAATAATTTCACTATATTTAATTTAAATTATAACCTACAAGTGCTATAACTTTTTATTATAGCATGCTAATTTTTGTTATGTAAATTTCTTATTTAGATAATGATATGAGTAATAAAACATTAAAAAATTAAATAATTTCTTATTTATTAATTTTAAACTTACATTGACCAAATTTATATTATGAATTGTGAACCTATTTTAATAATTAATATATGAAATAATTAATAAAAATAACATTATTTTTATTATTAATTAAATAAAATAAACAAAGAAACGTTAAAAATACATTTACTATTATTATTCTATAAAAATAGTTACCATGGTTTAATTGCGATAATATCTTAGTGAGAAATTTATTGTATTCAACAATAAATAATATTTTGTGTAAATAATGTTATACAAACAAACCTTACAATACTAATAAATAACAAAAAATAATATAATAAAAATATTTATAAAACTTAAAAACTATAAAACTGTTAATTTACCAATTGTAACAAATAAAATTGTAGAAAATTGGTATATTTATAATAATTTAAATATATTCAATTTTATGGACATTAATTATCAACATGTGTAATATTTCAATAAATAAATACTCGTAAAACATATTGATTTTTAAATTAGTTTTATTTTATATAACACCTTAAATTATATTAAACATTCAATTGGATATTTTAATAAAATAATTAAATTTATTTGTGTTCACAACCATAAGTGTCCGGTGCCTGACCCGTGCCATACAGACCGTGATTAAGGGCCCGTAACAAAGGGTTAGCCACTGAACAGCACTGTTTCTGGTAATCGTCCTGGCTTATCTCCCAGATTATAATACCACCATAGCCATTGTCCTTAACCCACTTGCTTTTGCTAATTATTTATTTAAAACATAATTAAAAACTAGATTTTTAGTTTTGGAATAAATAACAAGCTGTTACAATAAATCAAATACTAATTATAATATACAATCACTTATATGTTTGAGATTATGGCAAAAAAACCTTTAAAAATTTTAAATTAATAGTAACCTGATATTATCAGTTGAAAATAACTGAATTTAAATATAATATTTTTTAAAATTATTTATTGATAATCATAAATATGACTATCAAATATTTTAAAATTATTTGTGAAAAAATACTATATTTTTAATAAAATTCCTATTGATTAGTAAGTAACGTGTAAATATAATCTAGCATAATTAAATTAACAAGCGTATTATTAAAAATTTACAAATCACTCACTCGTAGGCAGCGTATGGATCATCATAGCCTATCCACTCATCATCCTTATAGGCAATGGGATCATGACCATGGTCACTTTGCTCCTTGGTCCAGCCCTCCCTTTTCACGAGCTCACACACGTGTTTGAATACCCCATCCGTATGTCCGGCCCCCGTAATAGGAGCGCCCACTCCGTGCTTAGTCTTATCGGCCAAATGAAATGAGTGGCCATAAA